TATCAGCAAGAACAGCACAGTATCAGTAATTATCAAACATTATCAGTAAGTTTTGGGATTCTCAGCACTTTTTTCGTCCAGTAGTGTGGGCGAATGATGTTGCATAGCACGACAAATCTTGAAACTGTTCTTTTGTTAAGCCTGCTAGATTATAGTATTCTTCAGTAGATAAGTGGTTGGGATTGTCAAAGTCCAAAATAGATGATTTTTTCAAAGTTAGGCGAACATTTTCCAACAGATTAAATAAATCAGTGCGATTGAAGAATGACTTGGCATACTTTGCTTGTAATTTTGTCAGAGAGCTTTGCAGCAGATTTTTTCCCTCTAAATGTGGCGAACTGACGAGCTGACGATTTGATGAAAATTCCACTGTGGATAAAAGCTTGTGTTCTGGCATTAAGTGGAACTGTGCATAACTTTACACGTCGACTGCTCTTCTTCTTACATACTACACAGAATTTGTGTGAGGAATGTGTAGAAGGGATGTTCAAATGAATATTTTTTGGACTGCATTCTTTACAACTGTTGTCTAAATGTTCAATTTCAGACAAGCAAAATCACTGTCACTGTCATTATCTAATGTTAAGGAGGCAGATGAATTTTTCTTCAGTGAATTATAATAATCCTTTCTGCAGTTATTGCAGATAACGTCGTTGTTCCCAGGATCTCGTCCTGAGAGTTTTGAAGCACATTTTCTTAGAGGGGACTGCCTAATTGGATGTCTGATCTTTATGTGATATTTTCCACATAAAAAGCACTTGTATTCTTTTGGCATCTGTAATCAGATATTGGAGACACACTTAATCTTTTGGAAAATTATGTCTTCATATGGATAATTCTAAATAACTATATTTACATAAGAGAGGCTCATGGGCCACAACACTCACCCGAGTAAGTTTGGCCCTGTTGTTCTTCACTAGACTTTCCCCCATGTTTTTGATTGTGGTCCCATCCTATCCCAGGGGGTCATGATTTTAACAATTAGAATCTACACAGGATACTTCCATATCAGTTTCAGCTTTTCTGGCCCAGTGGTTCTTGAGAAGAAGATTTTTAAAGATTTTTCGTATATATTTCAATGTAAAAAATGGATTCCCTATTGTGTCCCCTACCTACCCCGGGGGTCATGTTTTTAAAAATTTAGAATCTACACTACCCCAAGATGCTTTCACATAAGTTTCAGCTTTCCTGTCCGAGTGGTTCTTGAGAAGAAGATTTTTTAATGACCCAACCCTATTTTTGCCTTTTCTTGATTATCTCCTCTTGTAAGGGGGCTTGGCCCTTCATTTAAACAATTTAACTTTCCCTTCACCCAATGATGTTTTTGGTTAAAATTGGCCCAGTGGTTCTTGAGAAGAAGCTGAAAGTGTGAAAAGTTTACAGACGGATGGACGGGCAGACAGACAGATGGACGGACGACGGACAATGGGTGATCAGAAAAGCTCACTTGAGCTTTCAGCTCAAGTGAGCTAAAAACATATTTATACAGGAGGCCTATGGCCAAAATGCCACCCCACAAGTCCCCTTGGCCCTCCTTTCCTACACCACAAAATAAAACAAGATCTGTTTGTGAAATACTGATGCTCCCATTTGTCAGTTTATGGGGAAGGTTAGTTTCTCAAATGCATCAAACTCAAAGGTCGATCCTTACATCGCGGGTTCGAATCCCACTGTGGGACGTGGAGACCGGTCCTTCGGATGAGACTGTATAAACCAAGGTCCCATGTCGCAGTAGGTGCTGGCACGAAAAAGATCCCTCACTGCTCAATGGCCGTAAGTGCCGAGTATAGGACGAAATTTGCAGCTCTCCACTGGCAAGTGGTGGAATCTCCATATGAGTGAAAAATTCTCGAGAGGGATGTTAAACAACATACAAACAAAACAAACTCAAAGGTCAAGGTCAAGAGACAAAAAAATTGTTGTTACCCAAAGAAAGGTCTTGCCTTGTCTTGAATATAACTGAAATATGAAAGCCCTAGCTAGCACCATCCGTTCAAAATTAAAGCCAAAGTCATAGTTTTTTTAAAAGTAGGTCAATCTCCAAGGTCAAGATAAAAGAGTCATAACTGTTGGTATCCAAGGGAATGCCCTGTTACAAGGAATAGACATGTGATATATGAAAGCCCTAGTGCCAACTGTTCAAAAAATATGACCAAGGATTACGTTTTTCATAAGTAGGTCAAACTCCAAAGTCAAGGTCAAAATTGTTGGTATCCAATGGAAGGTCTTGTAGGAATACACTTGTGAAATATGAAAGCCTTAGTACTCACCCTTCAAAAGTTATTGCTAAGATTAAAGTTTTTTCAAAGTGGGTCAAAGTGCAAGATCAAGGTCTAAAAGTCAAAAATATTTATTCCCAAAGAAAGGTCTAATCACACGGAATAGAGGCGTGAAGTATGAAAGCCCTAGCACCAATTTTTCAAAAGTTATTGCCAAGGTTAAAGTTTGGCAAAACATTGCAAAAGTATGTCAAATTCCAAGTTCAAGAGATCAGATATGTTGATAGCCAAAGAATGATCTTGTCACAAGGAATACACATGTGGAATATGAAAGCCATAGTTCCAATGAATCAAAAGTTATGGGCAAGGTAAATGTTTTTGCAGACAGACAGATGGACGAACAGGGCAAAAACTAAATGCCTCCAAATCTTTGATTACGGGGACATAAAAAATCACTTTTATTCATGTGAAAAATTCCTACCACATATTGTGGCCCCACCCTAGCCCCTGGGAAAGCTTCAGTAACACATCCTAAGAAAGCTTCAGTAATAATATTACTAACATATCATATTGAGATTACTTTTACAGTCTTACATGTTTAGCGCATAATATTAGCAGTTAATGGATCAACTTATTCGTAAATGTACACGTGTTTAATACTGTTACCAACTTACCATCTCTATCTATCATCGTTTTTCATTCTAAAATCAATTTAGATTTATATATACAAAGGCATATTTTTTTAAGAAACCAAAGACTGATCGAATCTCGTAAAAAAGTAAACGCATTAGCTAAATGTACATGTAACTGAGTACGCAACTGCAGGGGCTAATCGTGGACACTGCATTTTAATGCATTAAGAAACGATGGCATTTAAAAAAATCCAATGGTACTGTTATAAGGAGGATTATTTAGCAAATTCAAGATAATTTATAGTGGAATATTATTGATTTTAAATAAATATATACGATAAATGAGCTGACAATATTTCATCCAATCTTACCGCACGTACTACATTGTAGCTATATATGCTCTCTTTTTTTAAATTTGAGAAATAACTAATTTTGAGTGACTGTTTATAAAAAACATAGGAAATAAATAATTATTATACAGTTTGTTAATACTTAAAATTAAATCAAAAATTCATTTAAATGAATTCACGACAAAATGTAGGCCATGATCTTTAATAAATCACCCCCTCCCCCCCCCTTTCGTCGCGATTAAAAATCGAGTACACTCTACAGGTAACAACTCTAAGCTAAAGAAAAACGGTAGCCGGCCCCGCAGCGGTGTAAACACGGTCGCAGGTAGTACCGCGATCAAAACCCGCGACGGTGTAACGTGGAAAGGATTATCACACCGCCGAGGGGACGCGGTCTATTACGGGATCCGCGTTGCCTGTACTGTATTTCATACAGGTGATTCAATTTCAGTATTATACTTTTTCTGATAAAATTACAATAGATATATTCTTGTACAAACTCAAGGTAGTAAATGCTAATTTTTTATCTAATTTTAATTGATTGATTGTATATTGTTTTACGTCCCATTCGAGAATCTTTCACTCATATAGAGACGTCACCATATACCGGTGAAGGGCTTCAAATTTTGACCTTTACTCGGCACTCAGGGCCATTGAGCAGTGAGGGATCTTTATCGTGCCAACGCCTGCCGTGACACGGGGCCTCGGTTTTTAAGGTCTCATCCGAAGGACCCGCAACTTTCACTTCAAAGTGCCGAGCGCATGGCGAAGGAACAGTTGCTACCTATTTTTTATCGACTTAGGTCTGTCGCGGCCGAGATTCGAACTCACGACCTTCCGATCACGGAGCGAGCGCTCTACCGACTGAGCTACCGTGAACGGTTTTATCTAATTTTAAAGATTCTCGACGAACATTTAAAATCAGAATTCAAAAGATTTTAATCTAACCAAACTGATATGATCAATCTCTGGAATATTGACTTTTTCTGATCTGAGGTGAAAAAAAGTGCTCATGGACGCTACAAATAGAAAAAAAATATATATAATGTTCTTATATACTTTTCCTATGCATATACTAGCTTGTATATGCACCACCTACCTTGCATTTTTAAGTACACAAGTGCAATGATTCCCTAAAAAAATCAAACATAAAATAAAAAAACAAATTTAATTAAATTAAGAGGGTGATTAACACCTTAAAAATTAGATTGTAGCATGTACCTAATTTCTTTCTCTCTCAATATAATAATATGTATGTAAACAATGAAAGTGGGTTTTTCCACTGATCTAAAAATAGATATCAACAAAGGAGAAAGATTTTAGGGAGGTTTAATCTAAATTTACAGGGATTAGTCGTTATTATTTCATTAAAGATAAAAAATGATAGTTCTTACAATAAAATTCTGGCTAATGAATTGTTGAGTGCTGATCTGCTGCTACATTGTATTGTCGTGTAACTGATATATTACATATTCAGTAAATAACTGGCGCCTTACCTTCAATGACGAAGGCGACAGTCGAATATGAGTCCAGGTAAAAAACAGACAGGCAAACAATACACAACAGGTAGGAAAGACTTCTAGACCGGGACTGAAGCTTCAGTGGCGATAATATTAGGCATCACGTGACATACCCAGTATATGGACAGACCAGGGCCAGAGGTCAAGACAGTGAAATATGTAAATAAGGCAATTTCACTACATTCCTCCCCGTTTTATTTAATAGGTTTAAATTATATATACTTATACATAGAATACATTAATGATACTTTAAACATATTTTATACAATAAAAACAATACTCTGCAATAATTTGGTCGGAAAGGAATCCAGACCTATAATTTTGCAGAAAGTGAGTAATCAATATGAGACATTCCACATGAACTTAGTCGGAAGATAATCCAGACCTATAATTCTGCGGGAATTGTCTTCTATACATATCATCTAAAACTTGTAGAGGCGAGGGTTGTTCCTAACTGTCTCCTTCAAAAGGTACTGCACGTTAACTTGTAGTTTTGATGCAACTTCGGTAGCAACGTCACCAATGAACGCTGGTGTATTTACAGTTCCTCCTCCTGGTTTCATATATGGGGAATCTGTTTCCAGAAGCAAGCGACTCATTGGAACGGATTGTAGACCAGCAACTTGACCAGCACTAAAGTTCACCACAGCACCCGTGAATCCAAAATAGACGTTTGAACAGCTATCCAACCATTCCTTGACTAACTCTGGATCGCCCATGAAGCAGTGAAGATGTATAGGTTGGTCTGGATCACACGATTTCCTCAGTAACTGCATACAGCGTGTGTGTACATCCATCCCAATCCTATCAGCGGCAATCCCACGCAAGTGAAGGACAAGGACTTTATCCTTACGAGTCAACTTAAGCACTTGGCGGAAAACTTCGTCTTGATGTCTCCACAGCTTCACAGGGACAGTTCTGTCTAGCCCGATCTCACCTAATGCCACAACATATGGACTGTCCAACAAGTTCTTCATATGGAGGAATCTATCAGGTGTCAACTCATCAACATGCTTGGGGTGAACTCCTATAGCCATCCTCCAAGGACCACACATACCTAAAAGCTCTGGGTGTGTTGATGGTTCAGCTACTCCTCCTGAAACTGTAACATCAAGGTTAGGACGTACATCACTGGAATGGGAGTAAGACAACAAATCCTCCACAGATCTTACTGAAGAACATTTCCATATGCGAGAGCACGTCCGGTCAAGATGGAAATGACTGTCGAAAGCATCAAACATAGTAGATGTCTGAGAACTGCAAATCTCATGAACAATACATGGTTGTTCAGTATAACTCTGCGATACTTGTAGTGGTTCCCTAGGGACGTCCACATCAGACCCGTAACTGACATCTATAACTGTAAGTTCATCTTCCGTCGACGAGTCAACGACCGGAACTTGAGTCTCCTCAGTATCTGGTGTACTAGTAATGTCCCCTGTAACACGTCCATGTGTACGAAATTCTTCGCGTTGCATGGGCTGCAAAGGTGACAACAGTACTACCAAACACCTCCAGTGGAAAAGAGCAGCTGGTGAGTTAAGTGGTGACAATGTAAAACCCTCAGGTGGCTCCAACCATCCTTGGTGCACACACAATCTTCGCATATACACAACTGTATCAGGATGAAGAGTGGTGTCCGAGGTAAGCATTCCCGAGCGATTTACATAATCCATTGCAGAGAGTAAGTCAGCACCATGTCCTAGAACGCTTCTTACCAAAGACTTCAATGCTGAAACCTGCAACTGTGACAAAATAGACTCGTCTAAGTAGCGCAACGGTCTTATGTCATTGAAAATCTTAGGAAGATGATTACGCTGAACATGACGCTTAATCTTCCTTTCCCTCCTGCCACAGTCTGGAAATGGACATTTCTGGAAAAAAGGGTGGTTTACGTTATGTAGATCTACCGTCACTCGAAGATCTGGATCAAGTCTTGGTCGTTTGGTGGACTGTTCTGTTTCCCTGATATCTGTTTGCTTGACTCTGCGTGTAGAATAGTTTCCAGATGATTTAACAGGTACAGTCTTTGAACGTAAAGTAGACCTGACTGGCTTGGATACGGTGGTAAGCTTATGACGATCCTGATCCGCCGTGTCATGTGCTACGGATAACACCGCCGCTTCATGCACTTCGGAAAAATTTTCCTCACACTCCTCTCCCATCACCATTGGCTTCTCCAAAGTAGAGGGTTCCATAGCATTCTCACGTATCACTTCAAGATCCGGATTGGACAGCAATCCTATATCCACACACATAGATGATGAAGTGGCTGATGAAACAGTCGTTGAGGTCTCCTTTTCCTCAGTGGTCTGGATCTGCGTAACAGTGAGGAAAGATTCTCATCAACCCACCTCTCCGGGCAAAGTATTGTGGCAGCTTCATGTCGTGTCGCCTCAATCCATCTACTGTCTCCAACATCCCTCTCCAACCGGTATTGTTGGATAATTACGTCGCAAATGGTACGATGAGAAGTTCCATCATTCAGAAGGGCTAAGTCATAAACTAACCTCTTCGGATCAACCAGACTTCTGTTGCCCGTTTTCCTTCTCACAAAGTCGACGTAATGCTCTCCTCTGTCCTGGCGAAGTGTGGGCTTTTCCGATTTCCAAGATCTTTTGTAAGATGACATGATGGCTTGAATTGATATGAATACAAAGATTATACTCAATAATATAAATACATAAATATGGGGGGTATGATATACAAAAAGACAGACAGACAGGGTAATCCAGAAGGACTTTTATATATATATAATAATAATTAAGGTGACATGACCCTGGTCTATTAAGATAGTCCACTTCTTCATCAACTAATAAAATTAATAACATAAGTATACTGTTCTATCAGCATTGAAAATGACAAGCATATAACATTTTACTGTATATATAGATCAGAACAATATGTTATTTTAAAGATTAGCAATGTCTCACTAGCAGTCACATTCCGGGCATAAATAAAAGGATAACTTTTCCGCGTAATTTTTATCTATGTTAACGCAGGAACCGTGAAACCAGTTTCGGCATTCATCGCACTGAATCATGAAGGAACTCGTATCCCGTCCATGACAGATACAAAACTGATTATCAGCCCTAGTATCTGATGAAGTTGTGCTCAAGTGCTTACGGATCCACTGCGGAATTTCCCGATCTTTACACAATTTAATTCGGTCATGATTCATGCTAATGATTTTCCCACGTAATTTAACCTTGTAAATATACGCGGACAGTTTTTCCGTTATGACTCCCGGTCCTTTTCATGATGGACTTAGTTTGCGGCACTTACCCTTAACTGTTGCAGTATCAAGAACGTAAACAATATCTCCAATTTTGTAACAATGTAGTAAAGCCCTGAGATCATAATCACGTTTCATGATACCCTGTGTTGTTTGTAGAGTATTTCTGGCTACTTCATGAGCTGCACTAATATTGTCCATTAGCTCGGCCAGGTACTGCTCCGCATCTTGGAAATGTCCATTTTTGTGGACCGGGAACTTTAAGTCTACAGGTTGAGTTACTTCTCGGCCTAACATCAGCATATTTGGGGTGAAGCCAGTGCTACAGTTGATACAGGACCTAAGTGCACCAGCTATTTGTGAATCCATTCATCCCACTCACTGGGTGTTTTGGAAACGAAACATCTAACTGCATCCATTAGAGTCCTGTTAAACCTTTCGACTTGACCATTGGCTGATGCACGGAAAGGAGTGGTCTGTGTTTATGGATTTGGAGTATTTCACAAATATCTGTAAAGAGCTGACTTGGGAAATTAGTCCCTTGATCTGTAAATATTTGGAAGGGATACCCAAATCTAGTAAAGAATTCATTAATGGAGGCTTTTGCAGTTACCAGGGCAGTCTGAGATGGTAAGGGAATACACTCAACTCACTTTGTAAATTGATCCACCATCATTAGAATGTACGAGTTATTATTTTTAGTAACTGGCAATGTTCCCAGAAAATCCAAATGAACTCCCTCCATTGGTACTCCTGCGTGGTACTGGGTTAGATTACATCTTGCATGTCTGGTTCGTTTTTTGTTTCTATTACAGACAGCACAAGATTCAACATAATTCTGAATGTCCACTGTCATGGAATACCAGTAAAACTGCTCCTTCACTCGGCCCAAAGTTCTCACTATTCCTTGATGACCTGCAGCAGGAATATCATGGCACAAGCTCATGACTTCCACTTGCATGGTTTTAGGAAGCACCAGGACTCTGTTATTTTCCTCAACCTTCCATAGTATCTGTTTTCCATCCAGTGTGAATAACTCCTTATTAATCCAGTTTGCTCTTGACAAAAGGAATAGCTCATTACCAGGCGTGACTTTGTTTGCACGCCAATGATGAAGTACTTTTAAATCAGAATCATCTAATTGGGCTTTTTAATGTCATCCCAGGAATGATTAGGCAGCCAGGAGGACTGGGTAATAAGTATTATTTGGTAATCCTCATCACTCTGGGTAGCTTTGTCCTCAAATATCTGTTGAGCTTCCGTGAGAGGCACTACATTATCAACATCATCCAGAAACTCACCCCAGTTCTTATGGGCCCGATGGCAGTAATGACACCCTCCACAGGGTAAATCTTCTATTTTGAAATCTCCCCTGTAGAAAGGGCATGGAATTTCTGCACTTATTCTGGACAATGCGTCGGCATTCACATGCTTCTTACCTTCTCTATGCTGAATGGTCATATTATACTGACTTAATTCCTCCATCCAAAGAGCCAACTGGCCTTCAGGATAACGGAAGTTTAATAACCATTGAAGGCTGTTATGGTCTGTACGTACTGTGAATGGTCTTCCTAGCAAATAGTAGCGATAATACCTTGTAAAAACCACTACTACTAGAAGCTCCTTGCGAGTAGTACATTGACGTCGTTGTTCAGGTAATAAAGTCAGACTAGCATAGGAAATAGTCCTCTCTTTTCCATTTTGTATTTGACTTAGTTCTGCTCCTATGGCAAATTCAGAAGCATCTGTATCCAGTATGAAATAATCATCTTGAGTTGGTAATGTAAGATTGATTGATTGATTGATTGTATGGTGTTTTACGTCCCATTCGAGAATTTTTCACTCATATAGAGACGTCACCATATACCGGTGAAGGGCTTCAAATTTTGACCTTTACTCGGCACTCAGGGCCATTGAGCAGTGAGGGATCTTTATCGTGCCAACGCCTGCCGTGACACGGGGCCTCGGGTTTTAAGGTCTCATCCGAAGGACCCGCAACTTTCACTTCAAAGTGCCCAGCGCATGGCGAAGGAACAGTTGCTACCCATTTTATCGACTTAGGTCAGTCGCGGCCGAGATTCGAACTCACGACCTCCCGATCACGGAGCGAGCGCTCTACCGACTGAGCTACCGTGAACGGTATGGTAATGTAAGAACAGGAGCACTTGTGAGGGCCAGTTTTACTTTTTCAAAAGCCGACTGTTGCTCCTCACCCCAGTAAAACCTATTCTTACCTGTTATAGCATACAAAGGTACAGTCATTCTGGCGAAGTCTTTAATGAAATTTCTGTGGTAATTCGCAAAGCCACAAAATCGCTCAACATCCTTGGTACAGGTAGGTACTGGGCACTTGCGTACTTGTTCTATGTAGCTTGGTCCAATCCCTAATCCATTTTTGTTGACGGTACGGCCAAGGAATTCCACTTCTCTTCTAAACAGCACACACTTCTTGGGTTTAAGTTTCAGACCGTAAGACCTGAATCTTTCAAGAACATCAGTAATGTTGTGTAAGTGTTCCTTGAAATTTTTTCCCAAGACCAGTATGTCGTCAAGAAACGCCAGGACAGTTTTCCAATGCAGACCCCGTAGCACAAGGTTCATCACTTGCGAATAAGTACTGGGTGCATTACAGAGTCCGAACCCCATCCTATTAAACTGAAAGGACCCATATTTGGTAATAAAGGCGGTCTTTTCTTTGTCTGCATCTTTAACTTTTACCTGCAAGTAAGCCCAGTTGGCATCCAATTTTGAAAACCAAATATTTCCGGTTAGTGTGTCTAGACATTCATCCACCAATGGTATGGGAATTCATCTTTTTTGGTCACTTAGTTTAATGCCCTGTAGTCGACACACCAACGGAAACTGCCATCTTTTTTCCTTACTAAAACAGGTGCTGATGCCCATTCTGATGATGAGGGATCAATGTCTCCAGCACTAGGCAACTATTGAGATGTTTTTCCTCCTCGTCCACATAGCATGCAGGTGTTCTGCGCAAGCGTTGTTTAACTGGCCTAGCATCTCCAGTGTCAATTCCATGTTCAATGGCTGTGAACTTGACCAAGTCAAATTCGTTCTTGGCAAAAACATCTGCATAGGAGGATAGGACATCTCTGAGGAGTGAATTTTCTTGAGATGACAAATGCTCTCCAGACTTAATCAGTAAATCTCTCAGGTGCTCAGGTACCTCATTTTCGGATGTATCTTTAGAGGACACCTTCTGTAATTTGATTTCCCCAGACTCTACTTCAGATATTACATCTACGATCTCATGAGCAGTCCCGACTTTTTCTCCCCGTATCAACTTGATATTTTTATTAGAGAGATTTACAAAGCAGATTAAGGGCATACATCCATTGGACTGTAATAATCTGGGAGACAAAAGGATATCTGACTGAATTGGCTCAATAACGTAATCATCCAATGACATACTTAAACTGCATGGCACTCGAAGTACAGCATAAGGTGGGACATTAATATTTTTAACCATTGTGACTTTAGCCACTCTTGCTGTACTAAGATCACCATCAGAACAAGAATTCATTGCTATACGCTCATGGCCAATTTCAAGATTACCTCCACTCATGCTGATTATGGCCTGGTGCTGTTGTAGGAAATCTAGTCCTAAGAGCATGTCATCATCCACTGGCGCTACAAATACTTCATTATCAATGAAAGTCTGAGACCTTATGACAATACTTACCGGCCCAACTCTGTATCTTGTCATCTTCAAATCTCGTCCTGCTGTATGTAATATTACCTTTTTCAGAATGGGTGGATTTGAACTAGAGGAATTATACAGTTTATCAGATACTATAGTTACCTGAGCCGCGGTATCAATAACCGCCGCAACAGGTACACCATTTATATCTAATTGGACTTTAATATTAGAAGATGACCTCATCTTCCGTATATAAATCTCGTCGGGCGGATCGGAATGTCGGTATTCATTAGGGATCAAGGATTGGCCTACTGTCCTGATCCCTTCTCGTTTCCCTCCTTCTGGGGACTAGCGAAGGTGACGGACTTTGATGGCCTATTCAAGCTATTGAGGCTGGGACATTCGGCTTTAAAATGACTGGTACTGCCACAGCTGTAACACCTCCGCAATGGGATGGAGATCTTGAGGTAGACCGAGATGCTGTCTTCTGGTACCTTGGTGGACTGCGGCTCGGTAACCTTACTTTCGCGAGGGCTTCCATTTTCTTCATAATGGAATCTAAGTCTGTTTTCAGTGAACCCATATACTCTTCTAGTTTGGAGATACGATTTTGTGCCCCATCCCCCTGAACCTTGGACACTTTGATTTGCTCTTTGTGGGGGCATACGGAACCGGTATCCGCATCGTCCCCACAAATCAAAACTTGTCTGATCTCCCTCCTCCCCCTACCAAAAATTGCTTGATGGTTATATTGGAAACTCTTGAGATGATCAATTGTTTCCTCTATATTGGTAGGGTGCTGGTTTATAGCATACTGACCAGCTTCTCTGTCAGTACAGCCATGACATATCCTTTTAATTGCTTGTTTAAGCATATAATCTTCAGGCAAACCTTCATAAGCCCGAAGAGCTAACTGAAACACACGATCAGCCCACTCTTCCAGACTTTCTCCGGTTGCCTGGGCAAGTGAATTAATTTTTAACTGTGCGGTCTCGGGTATTTCTTTATACCCAAACCTTTTTTTCCATTTTTTGCATTAATTATTAATTGTAAAATCCTATGTCCACATCTTGAGATACTATTGTGGCATAGTATTCACTTGCCTTCCCCTCCAAACACCAACCCAAGTAATCTTTAGATTCTTGGGGCCTCCAGTTTTTTACTTCAGCAAAACGCAGAAAGAGCTAAGTGGAGTAATGCCGCTTTTCTGCCCCCCGTTTTCTCAAAATTTGAACTGAACCATATATGCTATTTTTTTACATCACTGAATAAAAGAGAATCCAGTCTGACTATTTCTGGGCTTTTTTCATTTTTTATGTGTCGTTATATAACGGTATACAGTCTCAGAAGTAGCAATGTTTTGGGAAATTTTCAAAATTCAGTGCAATTCTCGGTAATTTTTCATTAAAATAAATACGAGCGCATGCTTGCTCAGGATTCATACTTGGAAGGAAGAGAAATATTTTACATAAGAACTGATAGTAAAAAGATCTTTCCTGAGCAAGACTGCGCTCACTGTTTTTATCAAGAAAAATCTTTGATTTAATGGTGTGATGCGCGGTGCTTCTTCACCCGAGGAAATTCGGTCGTGATTGATAATTTTGTTTATTAATGTGCTTTACCTATTTTAGCGCTCTAGTTAAAGTAAATTAATTCTTTTCTTGTAATAATTAAATGTACGATCCAAAATCATTGTCGGCTGCTGCATCTAGAGTAAAACTTGGTTGAATTAACAAAAATTAATCGAATATCTATATCGTCTGATTTCTTTGAGTTTGAAACCTGCTTTCCGTGAAATACAGGATATAGGCCTATCCTTGACGATACAGAAAATTGCAAATCTTCAGCATGCCATAATTACTGCAATATTAGGTAAGTGATCAAATGGTTGAAAATTGAGATGTACTATATAAACAGAAAAATTATTATGGCACGTCTACACTTTGTTACATATAGTTTGCATAGGTAAAAGAGCATCTTTCTTTTATATCGTATTTTTTTTCTCAGAATAGATAAGACCATTTAATATCTCTGCGTGTGTGTGTGTGTGTGTGTGTAAGGGTGCGTGTGTGAAATGCACAGCTGTGTATGTTCATATGTCCTGCAGTACATATTTACATGGTAACAGAGATCTGTCAAAAATGAATATCTGCTACTTGTCTGCAAGGGTTTTTAGAAAACAAAATTAAGCTACTGTGCAATAGAATAGTTAGGAATGTCAAATCGAAATAACTGAAGAATTAATGGTTACAATTAGAGTCCAAGAATTAATGTACAAACTCCAGATATAATCTATTTATATGTCGCTGGATTTGTTTACAGTTTCCTAGCAATACTCAGGGGAAATAACCCGCATTGAGGTCCCACACGGGATATTTCTTTGATTTATGAATCAAGAATATATTGTTATAGGTTGTTTATGTTTCATATTATTTATATTTGATAGAATAAATAATAAAAGATAGATAGATGGAAAGATAGACAGAATTGATAAGTTGAAAATTGTAAAGAAATATATGTTTAAATTAGTTATAAAATATTTAAAAAAATAAATAAAGCAATGAATAAATAAGTTTTTTTCCAAAATTGATTTAAAAAAAGAAGAAGAAGGATTATTTCATTAATCTCTGAAGATGAGTTGTAAACCACTGAAAATATTCACAAATTATTTTCAAGAAATTCATTTTAATTTTACTAAAAAAGAATTTTAAAAGTTATACAGTGTATAATGAAGAACCCTCCATACAGTAATAAAATAATTTGGACATTAAAAAAATTGATATAGCATAAAGGTGTAATTACAGAATTTTTTATTTTATTTTCAACATAGATTACCAACCATTTTTTAATTTAAAGAGATGAACATAAATCAATCAATGCTGCTTACTTAAATGGGGGAACTACAAGCAAGTAAAGTGTTCAATTAATTTATGTTGGCCTAATAAAATGTAAAGAATGCTTGAAGTGATAACAAAGTGAGTACCTATGCAGTGTCAAAATATCAACAACAAATTTTTTTTTAAAAAGTCAATCATTTGAAGATATGTTAAATTATTTGACGATATCATTAATTCCATTCATTAGACAATATACAATGTATATTCTCTGCTGTGTGCAATAATTGAATGGATGAGAAAATTGAAAGAGAACATTACGTCTACTTGTAAATGTACATTTCTTCTGTATTTACTTGCACTGATGAGCTGTAAAGCTCAAACTTAACAAAGAATTATGTTGAATTGAAGATCTCACTAGTTAATTAGTTGCTCTCCTTAAGAAAAATGTTGCAAACCTTAATTATTAATTAAATAGAAGAGAGCAATGATTCAATTAATGCACACAATAATTCAAATGAAGATAGCAATATTTCAATTATTGCACACACTAATTGAATTATTGCTCTCTTCAATTGAATAATATTGAAGAGAGCAATTATTCAATTATTGTGCACATCAAATCAGCAAATGATATCAACAACTGAATTGGTGCAAGCAATAATTCAGATCTCACAATATCATTACCTATTGGAAGAGATCTTATTAATAATAATTAAATTGTTGATCACATCAAATGAATTGATGTTATCTTTAAATAATTGAAGATATCTGCAATTATTTGAGTTTATGTGAATCTGATGCTGTAAAACCAGTATAGTGTAGATAAACTCAAGTTATTGTATCACACTTTCACTTATAGTGGGGTATATTAATTTGGGTGTGTCCATCTGTCTGTCTGTCAGTACAAAACACTTCAGTGTCTAGATGATATCTCAGAAAGTAATTCAGCTTTTGCAATGACATTTTACCTCATAACTACTTACGAAAAGACCCCTATTGATTATTAAATCAAAAAGTCAAAGGTCAAGGTCAGACTTTCATATATTAAATTTAAAAAAAAAACAACATTTTTTTCCTGAAGCAGGGCACATAAATTCCCTGAATTGGCTTGTTCTATTTTAGATCTAAGGGCAGATCATTATTACTTCATAAAACACCAATAATTAGAACTCTTTAGTGTGTTGTGTATAGAAGACCCATAAAGTAATTCAATTAAGAAATTAAAGATGCATGAAAATTGATTGAGCACAAAATAAAAGTGATGTGCTGTTTGAAATCTTTATTTAATATGTTTTTTGTACTGACAAAGAGTTTTGTCATACACAGTATACAAAGCAAAGCATTTATTTCTGTTAACAGTGTCAAGATCCATGTCTTTTCTTATTATGGTGGAAATACCCTTTCATTGATCTAATATTTCCTATACATGCACTGTACATTACAAACACAGAAAATATCTTTGAAAATTACTAATAAAAATTGTTCAGCATTATTTTTTTTTAATTTTGATTTTAGAAGCAATCTGTCTGATCATGCCTAAAGCATACAACTGTTGCTGGTGTCATCATAGAACTTGCGGTGGATCTGAGTCAAGGAGGCACATTAGAACGCAACCACTGATAAAGGAAACAGAGCGGCGATTAGGGAGAGGAGTAACTGAGGAGGATGTAATTTGTCAAAAATGTTACAGATCTTTTTCTCGCAAACAAACAGTTGTTGGTGCCTCAAGTACATGTACTCTAACATGCAGTGATCCAGAATCTTCCCCATCTCTGCCCACTTGTAACTCAGATTCAAATCCCTTATTAAAAAGTCCAAAATCAATATGCCTTCCCATAACATCAACACCAAAAGGTCACAGAAAATGTGTCATTTGCAGAAAGCCATACTCAGACAGAAATCGCCTTATAAATATCCCAAAGTCCTCCATTGCACAAGCTTTTGTTGAAACAGGAATCTTCATCAATGATGACAGCAGATGCTGCAAGATGCATGTTGAAGATGGCCACCTAAAAAAAGATGCACTCTCACTACTAACAACAACAAAAGATGAAGAACAACTATCAAGAACTGACATATGCAAGCTTTTATCTAGCCTTAGAACTACCATCAAATCAGCAACTTACCTCAACTTTGATGTTCCATCTCTTTTTGAGTGAAGAAGACTATTTGAGTCTCACTGGCTTAAAAAGAGAGCAATTTGCAGAACTTATTAATGAATTAAAGAATTTAAGAAACAATTCCAGCCGTACCAAGAGAACATGTCTTGCTGTATTCCTGACAAAACTCCGAACTGGCTTTCCCAACACAATACTCTCCACAATCTTCAAGCTTTCTGTATCTCAGATTCAAAGAATAATTCCATCAGTAAGAGAGGCTCTCATGCAGAATTTTGTGCCAAAACATCTTGGATTCCAACATATAAGTCATCAGGAATTCTCTTTGCACCATACTACTCCAATTGCCAGAAAGCTTTTCACCAGTGAGGACAACCCAGATCAAGCTGTGCTAATCTTGGATGGCACATATATTTACATCCAAAAGAGTCATGATTATGAATTCCAACGACTTTCATACAGCCTTCATAAAAATCGTCCATTGGTGAAACCTATGATGGTTGTGGCCTCTGATGGCTACATCCTAAGTGTTCTGGGACCATATGTAGCAGATTGTCACAACAATGATGCCAGCATAACAAAGCATATGTTCTCACAAAATGCTGAAAACATTCAAGGTATGTCTACTGTTGCAGATTTGAAACACAAATATGTCTTTTTAATAAATCAAAGTAGTGAAAGTAAAAATATAATAGAAGTAATAACATTGATATTATTTTTGTTCCAGTATGGTTAAAAGAAGATGATGTGGTCGTAGTTGACAGAGGGTTTAGAGATGCAGTAACTTTTATGGAAGATAACGGATTGAAAGTCCACATGCCATTCTATCTGAAAAGGGGAGAAAAACAACATACAACTATGGAAGCCAACCTATCCAGAATGGTCACAAAAGTGAGATGGTGGTAGAGAGTGCTAATGGCAGGCTAAAACAGTGGAGACTACTGGACAAAGTTATTCCTAACAAGATGCTTCCACAGGTAGGAGATTTTGTTAGAATTGTCTGTGCACTATATAACTGTTTTAGGCCTTGTCTTGGAAACATGGATCCTGAAACTGAAGAAGTGGCCATCAGAATGCTGGAACGATCACAGAAATCCAATGAAGTCCAGGTTCTTGTTCAAGAAAACAACCTGTTAACTCGCCGTGCTGTGTACACAGCTATTGATGCCTCTTCTGAGCTTGATGATTTCCCTGTCCTTTCACTTGATGACTTGCGCTCTCTTACATTAGGAATTTATCAAATAAAACATGCAGAGAATTACACACGAGAACATTTAAAAGATGAAGGCAGCTATGAAGTAATGGTATGCCATGATTTTCCAAATCTTTTGAGGGCTAAAATTCAGTCTAGGCATTCTAGAAATGTACTTCACACACTTTGGATAAAATATAGAGGTAAGGAGGAGAGTGTAGAGGCCATTTGTGGTTGGTACTGTACTTGCAAAATTGGAGCAAGACTTGTTGGTTGCTGTGCCCATGTGTCCAGTGTACTGTGGTTCCTTGGATGGAAAAGGCATCAGGGTGAAGAACTAATGTCATCTGGACCAGGACCTAAATGCCACTTTCTGAATGCAGCGTATCAAGAAGATTCAGACAGTGACACTGTGGAGGAGTGAATTCCAGGATTTATGAATTACATAGGTCTTTCATACGAAATTCATCTTAAATGATAAATGTATTACATATAGAGCATTAATGTTTACTTCAGTATAGATTTGACTGGATAATTTGCTGTTTTGGTGGTTTTTGTACATTAAATGAACTTGGATTTACTGGTATGCTAAAGGTGGAAACATGGGGTTACAATGATAAACTGAAGGGGAAACATATGCTAAGAAACAGCTATGCTGAAATAAAATCAAGGTATAAATTACGAAATACACAATAATACATATTAATAATATTTTCATGTAAAATGTGTTGATGATTTTTAACGGTGGGAGACATGCCAGTCTCTAACTGTGAAATTATCTCACATTGATAGTTAACTTTAACCTTAAACCCTTTCATGCTATTTTACATTTTACATTATATATGCATTGAAAAGTATGAATTATCTTTCAAATTCTATGAAATGCAAAGATTTTCAGACTTTGTGTAATTGATATGATTAGACATATATTAAGTTGTGTAACACAGAAGTATAAAGATGTTTGAAAAAGATTGTTTCAATATGCATTATAATGGAGATAATATTTCAATGATACAGAAGAACCATGCAGTTTTTCTGTTTAAAATTACTGATAACAACTATATTTTGTTTTTGATTTTTATTTTTAATTAAATGTAAATAAACTACTCCCAATTATCAGATTAGCCTTAAACTTCATGTTTCAGCAAAGATCATTGTTCCATATTACCACAGATATGTGCGATAAGATTTCAAAATGGTTAAAAATTAGCTTTTTTCCAAATTTGAGACTTGTTGCCATGGTAACCATTCATCCATAACATCCTAAAATTCCTGAAAATATTTTTTGAAGAAAGCTTTTATGATATACAAAGTTTGGACTGAATCTTTGTTCATGTGTGCCATGCACTTTATGTAAAAGTGCACTAAATTTTTTATATATAAAAAATGGCTCTTAAAAATGTTTTTATTGTCAAAAATAGAAAATGGTTGCCATGGAATTATGATTAATCGTTGCTAGGGAATAATTTGTTTTACATTGCCACTTAAGTAAGAAGCTTATAAATATACTTCAGTTAACTTTAATGCTAATGAATATATTGGTTAATTCTTCACTACATGCTCATATTGGTTGCTATAGTATATAAATTGGTTGCTAAGATATGCTTGAGTCGTTGCTATGGTATTTTCCCATTAAATTAGATTTGTTCATACAATGCTAAGGAACTTTCAAACATACATATGATCATTAAAGGTAAAATGAAAATATTGTTGTTGGTTATTAATTCCCAAAACTGTTAAATAATAAATCCAAGAGCTTTCAACAACGTTATTACATTGGTGGTTGCTAGGCAACGGGGACATCAGAACAATAAAATAAAGTTATAATTGTAAACTTAGACCCAAGTCCATCTTTTATTATAAATATTGTTGAAATCTGAAAGGGGGCAAAAAATGGCCCATACTGCACTTAGCTCTTTTTGCTGGAAAGCCTTCCAAGAATCTTTACCATCATACTGCAATGTCTTGGGAAGAGTGTCAATTCTATCTGCGCGATTGTTTTGCGGTATCTATGGGGGTGGTGCCATTTGTTGTGCTTGAGCATGTTGTTGTGCTTGAGGTGCCTGAGGCATTTGATATTGAAAATGTTGTTGTACATGTTGCTGTATTTGAGGCACCTGCTGAATCGGCGGTAATTGTTGGTGTTCTTGTGGCACGTGTTGTTGAATTTGTGGTGCTTGTTGTGGTGCCTGTTGTTGTAATGGCATGTACTGCATAGGTGGTAATGTTTGTGGAGGTACATGTATGTGAGTATGTGGGTTAATGGCTGTACTGGGCATCTGGGTTTTGGAAGGCGTTTGCTGCATTTGAGACATGCCCTGTTCACCTAACGGTAATGAACCGCCTGGTGATTGGGATGTTCCCAAACCTTTATCAGGTGTCATGGCATTTTGCACACTCGGAACATATGACAGTACTGAAACGCCCAATGTTTGAGTATGCATAGCCCCAGCAAATGGCTGTTGCCCTCCATAATTAGTCATATTAGGCTCAGATTTGACCGCCATTGATTGAAAAACCCCTGGCTGTACAAGTCCTGCTTGACCTTGGACTCCATACTGTGGCGATGGTAGTGCATAAGGAGGGTACTGTTGGTAAGGTCCCCATGGATACATACCATATGGCTCATTGGTTGCCCATATGGTGGCATCATTCCCCACTGATTAGCATATCCACTAGTGGGTGGATATGGAAACGCATTTGTTTGGGGAAATTGCATACTACCATATTGAGGGTGTGGGCCTGATTGACAAGTAGGCATGCCACACAACATTGGATATTGCCCTGCTTGGCTTGTTGATATGGGTGGATAGGCCATGCCTTGCTGAAAATGCACCTGCTGATTTCCCGAAGGGGCTTGAGTGTTAAGTATACCTCCACCACCTTGACTCAGTGTGCTTTGACTTACAGCTGTTTCATGAAGAAACTGCTTGGGTTTAGCTCCTGCAGAGTCTTTAAGTGGGGGAGGTAAAGTATAGGGTTTTTGCACCTCTCCAAAATTGTACCCCTTCTTCCCTGACATTTTCTTATTGTGTGCATCAATTACTACTTGCACATTGCCGAAAATGTCATTTGAAACCACTGGTGAGCCAATGAAATCAGTTGATGTTGATGTAATTGGCACATCAGTGACTGTTGGAGTCTGTGCGATAGCAGGCGTGTTATTGTCTATGCTATCTGTATTTTGCGCCAACATCCCTTCATTTTCATTCATTTCAGTTTCTACCTCAGTATTTTCAATCATGTTGTCCGAAAGATGACTATTCCAATATGGATTTGGCTGAAAGTCAATTTTCGAGAGTTCATCCTCTGTGTGCGGAATATGTTGGAAGTCTTCCGCGCTTGAAATATTTCCGGATGCATAGTGATATTTAAGGATGTTTTCCGCTACTACCGGTCCAATACCTTTCATTGCTTATAGTTCTTTTTTGTTGGCGAAATTTATTTTAATAATTGTGACCGATGATGGAATGAATTCAAATTTATTTTGTTCTAACTTCAAAAGCCTGAACAATATTGAAAGTATTTGTTTTCTTTAATAAGCCAGAAAACAACAAGTATAAGCTGAATTAAAAAACTTGGTTATTAATTAATTCCCTACATAAAATGCTAATAACTGATTGGACACTTTGAAATGTTGTTATAATATTTAGAATAAATATTTAAATTGAATAAAAGTTGGTATTTATTTGTAATCTTTAAATTTCTCAAAATAAAAACCAAGTTCAATTTAACGTGATTGTTCTAAAAAAAAATTTAGGTCGAAAAATTTTCTAGATTCAAATATTGACAGTATAAAATACTGAGACTAGTTAATAATGAAATAGATTTTTCAAAAATTTATTGTTTATAAAATGAAAGTTTTAAATTTTCTTCTATCTTAACTTTAAAGTAAAGTTTGATAACAATTACCGGATGTTTACTTTATTATCAAACAGGAAGTCACGTTATGACAGATATAAACTGCGCAAAAGTCACTGTCAGTTTGGCGCCAAAGCGAGAAAAAATGGCGACTGACAAGACGACAAATGAATAAACAAGATGACGAAAAATTTCAATAAATGGAAATAATGGACTAAATACTAATATTATCGCTTCAGCGTTTATCGAAACGCCCGAAAACGATAATATATTGAAAAAAAAAAACTATGAAACAATTCCTAAATCTATGAAAAATCTACACTTGTGCAGATGCAATCACCCACGTGTTTACCGAAACACGAGTGACAGAAAAATCTGCAACTTGAATAGCAACAAATATAAAAATGTATTGACTACGACAAAATATCGCACACAACGTTTATTTAAACGCACGTGTACGTGAGTACTGTAGTCAGAAAGAAACAATTTATTTATTTACACAATAATTCAATTTCAATACTTAAATTCGGCAAATATTGAATTTACCGGACAATGCAGAATTTTCGTAACAACGTTATGATATAACGCCTGCACGGAAAAATTCTACTCAATTCACAAAAAGAAAATATGAAAACTTCACCATGTGCTTCTGTTAAACACAAGTGAAAAATGTCAAAATGGCCAAGTTGTAGGCTTTGTTACTAACGTTAATAAACGCCCGTAACTACAATTATCCTATAAATTCAAAATTGACCAAATGCACGATATGTAATTTGTCACCTCGTCTTTCGTTAACGAGTGACAAAAGTTTGCTAATATAGCAAAAATAATAAATTTACCGGCGACGCCAACTGTCGTGTAACCGATATATTACATATTCAGTAAATAACTGGCGCCTTACCTTCAATGACGAAGGCGACAGTCAAACATGAGTCCAGGTAAAAAAACAAACAGGCAAACAATACACAACAGGTAAGAAAGACTTCTAGACCGGGACTGAAGCTTCAGTGGCGATAATACTAGGCATCACGTGACATACCCAGTATATGGACAGACCAGGGTCAGAGGTCAAGACAGTGAAATATGTAAATAAGGCAATTTCACTACAGTATATTCTGGTAGTACCACAGCAGGCGACAGTCGTCGGTTAAACGCACAAAATTTACAACGATGATTTGCAAGCTAAAATGAAAATATCAGTGATTTCTTATAACATAATAACTAATCAGACAATTGATTATTTGATCATATATTTTACGAAATGTGACTGTGGTATGAAACGATTACACCTTAGCCTTATATTTTCATCTGTCAGTTTACGTTACGCGGTTACCGTATATAGTAGACTAGAGTAGTACTTATTTGAAGGGGAAACTTCTATCACTGCAGAAAATTTAGTAAATTAACAGTTAGCAATTCTAATGATATTTTTAAAAGTGACATACACACTGCATATACTTAACAAATATAGCTGCTAAATGCAAGTCTGTAATCTGCAAACCCGTAACGTTGGTATATAACGTTGATCATCCGGAAAAAGTGACGCCGATCGAGCCAGACTGATTTTATAAATTTCCACGCATTTTTTTTTTTCGTTTTTTTTTTAAATTTAAACATGAGCGACTAAGAGTACCACAAAGATATTTTAAACGAAGAAAGTACACATCTAAATCCCACAAGTGACGAAATATCTTTGTGGTACTTTTAGTCGCTCTTATTTTTTAGAACGCAAGAATGTTGGAAATACCCTGTTTTCTGACTATTTTCAGCGATGATACAGATTTCAAGTCAACTGAAATTTAATTTAGAAACAGAGGATAAGAAATCCAATATGTTTTTAAATAAATACTTGTTCCCAACCTTCAAAAAAATAAATGAATTTTTTGTTTACATGTTATTTACTAATTAAGAAATTTGGGGGCCATCCAACATTACTTGTCCTATCTTGTTCTTTGACCTTTACTATTGCCTAGGGAAGTGTGTTTATGCTGTATAAAGATTATAAAGGATTTAATTATGAATAAACACATGTTCATTTCAAAAAGTACTGGTGAGCATAATTATAAAACACTTTTTTAATATTTAACTTGAAAATAAAGAATTTGAAATGTAATTGAAAAATACGACATTTTTGAAATGTATTTAAATACATTCAATTACTTGTAATTGAAAGCAAACTCAATTACAAATACTTTCAATTATTTTGTAAAAATGCATTTTTAAAAAATACAGTAAATTACAATTACTCATTTCAAGTTTCCCATCCCTGATTGCAGTCATTATGTTTTTGCTTTGTATTTTCTAGCAACCCTAGAATGGGTGTAATAATCTTATCTTCTTCATACATGTGATTTGTGTGCTTGGGTAAAAACTGCAATCGATATCTTATCTTGGTATCGGAGCTACCAGTATTTATACCTTGAGACATTTTAAATAGTGCATTTAAGGTCATGTGTGGTGTTAATTTGGTTTATTAACATTTTCAAAATAAAATTGAATGCTACGGAAATTTCCTAAAAATTTCTATACTGATTTAAGTGAAAAAAAATTGGAAAGGAAACGTTTGAGTATATTCAGTAGATATATTCTACAGGAACATAATGTTGATAGCCGACCTTTTTTTTTCAAGGTAGACATTTTCTGAAATTAGATTTTAAAGTTTGACGATGAGTTTACCTTTTGGTAGTGCTGTAATTCTCTGTTTTCAGAATTAAAAAAGTCTAAATAAGCAGAAATAAGCATAATGCTTGCCAATAATTAATATATTCAAAAGTATAAAAAAAATTGTACTCTATTATAAATTCATAGGTAAAAAGTTCAGAAACACATTTTTGTACATATAACATTAAAAAAAAATCTTGTTCATCGAGTTTGTGATTGCTTACATGAACATCAGATGAATCATAACTGGTTTAATCGAGCTACAAAAAAAGTAGGTAGACCTTGAGAGATAAAGATTTAATTTGCACTCTATGTACTTGAGGTAAAATTAAAAAAAAAAAAAAAAAAAGAAATCTTATCAAATGTTGAGTACCCTTCATCCAATCATATTTCACGTCCGTTTCAAAATCATATAAATGCAGTGACATGGAAGTGTCGTTAGAAACGGATAACAACTTTTCTCCTGGTAAGAATATGTCAGAATATATATTATCCACATTTAGAATAAAAATGCCAGATTGGCCTGAATCAATTTCAAACAATTTCAATGAAATTACATTTGTTGATTTTGATCTGAATTTAAATTTTATGCAAAAAATGAAAAACAACAATTTATCGACAAATGGTTATTTTGTCTTGTTTACTTCAATACGGCGGGAATGTATTGAAAGTCTCTTCGCTCCCACTGATGATTTTTCCAATCACTCCTTTAACCGCTTTAGTGAAAAAATAGGAAAATGTTTAATAGATTTAAAGAAAGCCGAAAGATTAAAAGTCATCGGCATTCCTGAAAACAACAATAAACATGCAACGTCTGTTGCTATTTTAATAGAACTTTTTAAAGTTATTAATTTTAATAAAACAATTTATGTCATGAGTAAGCAAAACATTATTTACATGGCTAGACAATATTTTAGTAAAGCCATGCGCAAGGAAATACACGTGATTGAAAATAATAATA